TATATGTGATTTATATTAATTGTATTGCTTTATTTGCTTATTGCTTTTTGTCTTTTGATGTGTTGTTGGGCTTGGCCTCATGTAAGCCGCTCCGAGTCCCCTTGGGGAGATAGTGGCGGGGTATAAATAAATAAATAAATAAATAAATAAATAATAATAATAATAATAATAATAATAATTATTATTATTTGAAAGCCTTCAAATGGGTGGTGGAACAGTATGACATTGTAGAGGACATTAGAAAGCTTTTGAACATGCTCATGGTGCTCAATATAACCTGCAATGTTATAACTCTTGTTGGAGGTGGGAACTTGTATGTCCAAGTGGACACTCCTGCCACATAAACACACATATATATTCGCTTTTATTATGTGTAGAGGTAGATATATTCTGCCTTTCTACCCGTATGGACAGATCTTTGCAGAGAGGTAACAACATCATCATCGGGTTGTTGTAGGTTTTTCCGAGCTATATGGCCATGTTCTAGAGGCATTTTCTCCTGACGTTTCGCCTGCATCTATGGCAAGCATCCTTAGAGGTAGTGAGACCTCACTACCTCTGAGGATGCTTGCCATAGATGCAGGTGAAACGTCAGGAGAAAATGCCTCTAGACCATGGCCATATAGCCCAGAAAAACCTACAACAACCCAGTGATTCCGGCCATGAAAGCCTTCGACAATACATTGAACATCATCATCAATAACAAATATTATTTATTGCCCACCTCTCCTGATAGCTCGAGGTGGAGTACAACACAATCAAAAACATAAAAATCAAAAACATAAAATAAATTACATAGATAAAAGCACAAAAACTTGGACCAAACACAGATACAAAATTGACATATAGTAGTATTATGATATTTAGTATATCACTTGCACTGGATCAGTGTCTGCTAACTGAAATTAGGATAATGAATAAATACATACATGTTTATTTTATTCTAAGCATTACCTCTTTAACAGTGACATCATTTACTAGGAATCTTTAAGGAAATTTGACAACCAAATTAACAGCTTAAGTACACACACCAACATTTGTGTGTGATTGTGTGTTTATCTTTCAAGGACCAGATGGAACCTATTTTCAAAGAGTGTGAAGAAAAGTCTGTTTTAAAAAAAAAACCCAAAGTGACTGTAAGAACAGATGTATCTCACAATTCGAGTCACATATCTTGGCATCTGTAATTGAGAGAATCAACACATATATCCAAGTGAAAGTCAAGTATTTAATCCGAGGTCGGACTTGACAGTTTCTGCAATCAGAGGTTCGGACGTGCCAGCCCTGGAGGGGTTGGCTCATTTGGTTACAGAGATTGGTTTGCATTGCATTTGGTTGTCAACCAAGCCATTCATTTTCACATGTGCAAATGCTGAAATTAAGCCTGACCTCTCATTTTAGGTGTTTTGTACGTGCAGGCTTAGCAATTTCACAGCTTTATTATGCCATAGAAAGCCTATCCTTCTCTGGTGATCTTTATAAAATTTTGGAAATCACAGTTATCATATCCATATTAATCCTTATACGATGATGTGTGTATGTGTATATGTATCTGTCTGTCTATATCAGGGGTCCTCAAACTTTTTAAACAGAGGACCAGGTCACAGTCTTTCAAACTGTTGGAGGGCCGGATTATAATTTGAAAAAAACATGATTGAATTCCTATGCACACTGCACATATCTTATTTGTAGTTTGGAAAACACTTAAATGCAATACAATAATTAAAATGAAGAACAATTTTAACAAATATAAAATTATTAGTATTTCAATGTGAAGTGTGGGCCTGCTTTTGGCTGATGAGATAGAATTGTTGTCGTTGTTGTTGTGTATTTTCAAGCTGTTTCAGACTTAGGTTGACCCCGAGCGAGGGCCGGGTAAATGACCTTGGAGGGCCGTATCCGGCCCCCGGGCCACAGTTTGAGGACCCCTGGTCTATATCTATATAATAATAATAATCCTTTATTTATACCCCGCTAACATCTCCCGAAGGACTCGGTGCGGCTTACAAGAGGCCGAGGCCCAACACATCAATAAAACAACAGCATAACAAAATACAAACAATAAATAAAACTCATAAAACAAGCAATAAACATTAAAACAATAGCAATAAACATTAGACAATATGACACATTTAAAAACTAAGGCCGGGCCAAATGTAATGATTAAAATTTTAAAAATGCTGGGCATGACAGATGAAATTGATAGGTTTTTGGAGATAGGCGCGGTGTGCAGACAATCTTAAATCTTAAATCTCTAGTAAAATGCATTTGGGACATGATGCTTGGAGTTTCCTATTCTGGGAAGGCACACTGGAACAACCACAATGTTGGGGCTTGTCTGATGTCCTTGGGGAGAGAGTTCCAGAGTCAGGGGGCCACCACGGAGAAGGCCCTGTCCCTTGTCCCCACCAATCGCGCTTGCGACGTAGGTGGGATCGTGAGCAAGGCCTCTCCAGATGATCGGAGGGATCGTGTGGGTTCATATACGGAGATGCGGTCACGCAGGTAGGCGGGCCCCAAACCGTTTAGGGCTTTGTAGGTAAGCACCTTGAATTGGGTCCGGAAAATGAACGGCAGCCAATGGAGCTCCCTAAACAGGAGGGTTGACCTCTCCCTGTAAGAAGCACCAGTTAACAACCTGGCCACCGCCCGTTGGACCAGTTGGAATTTCCGGGCCGTTTTCAAGGGCAGCCCCACGTAGAGTGGATTACAGTAGTCCAATCTGGAGGTGACTAAGGCATGGACCACCCTGGCCAGATCCACCTTCACAAGATACGGTCGCAGTTGGCGCACGAGTCTCAATTGTACAAAAGCCCTCCCGGCAACTGCCGACGCCTGAGCTTCAAGCGTAAGTGATGAGTCCAAGAGGACACCCAAACTGCGGACCCATGACTTCAGGGGGAGTGTAACCCCATCCAGCACAGGCTGCCACCCTATACCCCGATCCGGTTTATGATCGACCAGAAGGACCTCTGTCTTGTCGGGATTAATCTATGGGATATATATGGTGTGCATATATACACACACATCTGATGAAGTAAAATTCCTAATCCCATGTTAGAGCCAGCACAGTGTAGTTTTTTGAGCACTCTGAAGACCAGATTCAAATCCCTACTGAGCTATAGAAGCTCACTGGGAGACCTTGACGGAGTCACAGTCTCTCAGCCTCCAAGGAAGACCAAGGCAAACCACTCTGAACAGATCTCGCTAAGAAAATCCCATAATAGATTCATTTTAGGCTTGCCATAAGCCAGAAATGACTTGAAGTCTTGCAACAACAATACCCCAACATCCCATGTTAAAGATATTCTACAGCCAAGAACAAGGCTTGAACATCTGTGCCCTGGAAATTGGGCTTCTGGGGCCATAATCTTCACTTCTTAGATTAAAGAGTATTGGCTACAGATGGCTTATTCTTCACAGGGAGGCCAGAAGGATTTCTTTGGGAAACACATGGTGAATACGATCAAAAGGACTTGAAATTAAGTCCTGATGATATCTCAGTCTAGGTACAAACTCTAAAAACAAAATCTAAAGGTCTATATACAAATGAACAGAGTTTGGGAAATAAACAGGGTTGAAGTCCCAGTGCAGGAAGGTACGGCAATTACTATTTTATATATTTATATTTAGATGATTCCAATGAGGAAAATAAAACAATTGAAGGATATGATCCGCTCAAAAAGAAAAGATAGGGACTGTGGCGCAGCTGGCTGGGAGTCAGCTGCATTAAGATCACTACTGACCGAAGTCATGAGTTCGAAGCCAGCCCCAGGTCGGAGTGAGCTCCCGACCAAAACTGTGTAGCTTGCTGTCGACTTTTGCAGCTCAAAAGACAGTTGCATCTTCCAAGTAAGAAAATTAGGTACCACTTTGTGGGAAGGCTAATTTAACTGATTTACGAGGCCATAAAAATCTCCAGGAAGTATGCAAGGAATGAGGAAGCGACAGCTCCCCTGGTGGCCAGAAGCTGGAATGTTAAATAGCCTCTGAGTGTCTGTCTATTAGGGCTGGGCGGTTTCGTTTCGTTAATTCGTAATTCGTTAAAAATTCGTTATTTTTTTTGTTAACGAAGCGATAACGAACCATTCTGGAGCAACTTAAAAACGAAACGAATTTTTCAATTCGTTTCGTAAATGCTTCGTATTCCGTTATGTATTCGTTTCGTTATTGGTTTGAGGTCGTTTCGTTATTATTTCCGCATGTCTGGGGCAAGTTTTATAGTTGTTTTTTGTTTAATTAGTGAAAAAAAATTATAATATCACACCAACCGTCAACAACAGAGGGAGAGGGAAGCTTCAGAAGTTTTTTTAGCGTATTGCGCGATCGCGGCCGCCATTAACGAATCGATTCGTTATTGTTTCGTTATTGTTTTGTAATTTTTTTACCATTTACGAAATTTCGTAAATATCGAACCTTTTTTAAGGAAAATTTTGTAATTATTTTAAATAACGAAACGCAAAACCCCCCAAAAAACGAATCGATGTTAAAAAGCCTCTGTGTGTCTGTCTATATATGTTGTGTGCCTATGGCATTGAATGTTTGCCATGTATATGTACATTGTAATCCGCCCTGAGTCCCCTGCGGGGTGAGAAGGGCAGAATATAAATACTGTAAATAAATAAATAAATAAAGAGGGTAGCATTGTATTTCAAAGATTTGTACAGAATCCACAAGAGTGCTCAAACTTGACAACTGATGAAAGACAAGGCCTCTTCTAACTCTATGATTTTGTGATATGATGATTCTCCTTTGGATTCTCACTCTCACTTGCACCAGCCAGCATGGCCAATGACAAGGATGCTGGAAACTGAAACCCAACAACCACTGGCCTAGACAATGGAAGAAAGCTGTACAGTTATAGATCATATAGATCTATAACTGGTACAGCTTTCTTCCTTTGTTAGTTTATGGAATGATGGCTATAATACACAGCATAACTATCATTAATGCGATGGGATTTTTTAAAGAAGTTTTGGAATTAATACTTGTATACATACATGCCACTTGAACTTCTGATTTCCTTTGCAAGAGTGCTCCCATTCGGTTCCTCACGACACATTGATAAAAACCAGCATCCGATCTTTGCAAGGATGGAATGAGATACCTGCAAGGCATTGAGACAGAGCAATTATAACACATTTAATTTCAGTAGGTATTCTCAAATATTATCTATATTTATTTAGTACATGTTATCTTACTGTCTAAAAACTAATACATTTCAAGTGCAGCCAGTTCCCAAGTTATGAACAAGATAGGTTCTGTGGGTTTGCTCTTAAGTTGAATTTGTACATAAGTTGGAACAGGTACATATTAAGATATCTGCAATTTCTCTCACTTCCTGTTGTCACACCTTCATTTGTCACTATGAGTCATTTCTAAGTTGGATGTTTGTACCTTGGGAACTACCTGTACTCAAACAAGACCTATTTTCAATCATTTTCATGAAACTCTTCTAATTTTTCACATTAGTTCCCATGTCCATGATGTTCCATCCTTGTTTTGTACTGTTCTGGTCTATGTGTATGTGTGTGTGTGTGTGTGTGTGTGTGTGTGTATAGATAGATAGATAGCTAGATAGATAGATAGATAGATAGATAGATAGATAGATAGATTTTAATATAAATGTTATTGTATTATCAATATTTCATTTTTTATGCTTTATGTCTAAATGTTATTTTTTGTTTATATTTTAATTTGATTAGGTTAATTTATAGTCATATGTTATTGTCGTGCTATTATATTTTGGTTTTCACATGTATGTACGACACTGAATTTTGCGTTTATAATATTCGAAACCACTTTGAGTTCCCCTAGTACATAAATGTAGTGTCTGTGTGTGTACCTCAGATGATATATGTATATATTTGTGTGTTTATGTATGTATATATGTATTTGTACTTGTGTATGTGTATATATGTGTATATATGTATTTATATGTGTATGTGCTTTACTAATATAATATGATATATTGTATATACATATAATATTTATAATATTATACTGTAATACAATATAGAACTGTTAATAATACAATATTATAATTATATATTTTGTATTACATGTAATATTACTAATAATATTACAATATAATGGTATAGTACAATATAGTAATATATAATACAGATATTGTACTATGCTAATAATATAATATAGTGTGTGTGTGTGTGTGTGTGTGTGTGTGTATATATATATATATTGTAAGCCCCTCTGAGTCGCCTTTGGGGTGAGAAGGGTGGCAGATAAATGTTGTCAATAAATAAATAAATAAATAAATACGAGAAAATCTATGTTTAATTATCATGGATTTCATCTTTTCAAAAGACAGATTGAATGCTACTTTTTGCTTAGAATTATTATATACACATTTGAACATTTTCTACCACCCAATGTTCCTTCATCTACAAGGCAGTAAAGATACTTTCTTGCCTTCCGGTGAGAAAAAGCAAAACATTAATATGGATGATATCAGGAAAGATATTCAGCAACATAACATTGCTATGGTCAAATTGCGAAACAAGAAATAGAACATATAAACATAGCCATAACTTTTTTGGCCAGTAAACAGAAATGAAGTATTTTAATATATTTTACTTCAATTAATTATTGGCTGCCCTTAAGTAGAAACTCTTAATGATTTACAAATTTAAAAATAAAGTAAACAACATCTGCTCCAGTGGCTTGCTTTTATGCCTGGTGGCTATTTGTAGCTGTTGGAAAATACCCCACTAAAAAGGTATTATAATATAATGTGTTAGGCTTGCAATACCTCAACTGCCCCTCTTCCCTTCCTCTCACCAACCCTCCTTTCCACATCACTGGTAGATATTAAATTCTGCTGCTTAAAATCAGGTGTTTTTGAAAAACTGGAATTTGCATCACTACACTTGGTAAATTCCCATTGGTTCAATGAGTCAACACAAATTAGGACTAGACCTGTCAGTGGCTTATGATACTGTGAACCACCGCCTCCTCCTGAGAAAAATGTGTAATATCACAAAGGACTACCACCTCACCCGCCTCATAGAAAACCTGCTACAAAACAGGAGCTTTTTTGTTGAGTTCCAGGGCCAGAGAAGCAGATGGCGGAAACAGAAGAACGGCCTGCCTCAGGGAGCGTGCTTGCTCCATCCATGTTCAACATCTACACAAATGACCAGCCACTGCCAGAAGGGACAGAGAGTTTCATCTATGCTGATGATCATGCCATCACAGCTCAAGCAGGGAGCTTTGAGATGGTAGAACAGAAGCTTTCCGAAGCTCTAGGTGCTCTTACTGCCTACTACAGGGAAAACCAGCTGATCCCTAATCCATCTAAAACACAGACATGTGCCTTTCATCTCAAGAACAGAGAAGCATCCCAAGCTCTGAAGATCACCTGGGAAGGAATCCCACTGGAGCATTGCAGGGCACCCAAATACCTGGGAGTCACTCTGGACCATGCTCTGACCTACAAGAAGCACTGCCTGAACATCAAGCAAAAAGTGGGTGCTAGAAACAACATCATACGAAACCTGACTGGCACAACCTGGGGATCACAACCAGACACAGTGAAGACATCTGCCCTTGCGCTGTGCTACTCTGCTGCTGAGCATGCATGCCCAGTGTGGAACACATCTCACAGTGGATGTGGCTCTTAATGAGACATGCCGCATTATCACGGGGTGTCTGCGCCCTACACCACTGGAGAAATTACACTGCTTAGCGTATTGCACCACCTGACATCTGCCGGGAAGTAGCAGCCAATAGTGAAAGGACCAAGGCAGAGACATCTCCAGCTCATCCCCTGTTTGGGTATCAGCCAGCACGTCAACGACTTAAATCAAGAAATAGTTTTCTATGATCTACAGAGACACTCGCTGGAACACCTCAGCAAGCGAGAGTCCAAAAGTGGCAGGCTCAAACCCAGCACCTCAATCCGTGGGTGATACCAGATGAGAGACTCCCCCCTGGGCACACAGAAGACTGGGCGACTTGGAAGGCGCTGAACAGACTGCGCTCTGGCACCACGAGATGCAGAGCCAATCTTAAGAAATGGGGCTACAAAGTGGAACCCACGACATGCGAGTGTGGAGAAGAGCAAACCACTGACCACCTGCTGCAATGCAACCTGAGCCCTGCCACATGCACAATGGAGGACCTTCTTGCAGCAACACCAGAGGCACTCCAAGTGGCCAGATACTGGTCAAAGGACATTTAATCAACTACCAAGCTTGCAAAATCTGTGTTTTTTTATCTGTTTGTTTGTTTTGTTCTGTTAGAAATGTAATACAATGGTATGGTTGCTGATGACACGATAAATAAATAAATAAATAAATAAATAAATAGGACTAGAATTTGGATTTAAGTCTGCTTTCTAAAGAATTTTATTTATTAAAAATGAGTTGTAAAATAAAAACATACACATCCTGATTTGCCTATATGAATGAAAATGAAGACAAAAAGAAAAATGGGTGTGGGAAGAAAAAAGGAAACCTTGATGAGTTTCTTTTTGAACTGCTGATAATAGCTTGCAGGACAATTACATTCTCGTCGCATATCTTTAACATAAAGACCAAAGGCTTTTTTAATTGATGGAGGACAAACTACCAGGAGTTAGAGTGCAGTTTCAGCAACATTAGAATGCAGTGTTTCGAGCAGGTATTTTTACCTGTGAAATTGCAAATATGCAAAAGTTTATAAAGTCGTGAAATTGGCACGTCCCCAGAGAGTAATATTTATTTCAGTCACCTATTATTATCATTGCAGCATATATTTATCAACCTCTGAAAATGTATCCACTTGTAATAAGAATCATAATACATTTTATTTATTATCCGCCTCTCCTAACGGCTTGAGGCGAGGTACAACAAAGTCAAAATATTCAAACATAATATACATAGATAAAAACACACCAATTTTTTGTGGCGGCAAAAAAAGCCAATGGGATTTTGGCCTGCATCAATAGGAGCATGGTGTCTAGATCTAGGGAAGTCATGCTCCCCATGCTCTGTTCTGCTTTGGTTAGACCACACCTGGAATATTGTGTCCAATTCTGGGCACCACAATTCAAGAGAGATATTGACAAGCTGGAATGTGTCCAGAGGAGGGCGACTAAAATGATCAAGGGTCTGGAGAACAAGCCCTATGAGGAGCGGCTTAAGGAGCTGGGCATGTTTAGCCTGAAGAAGAGAAGGCTGAGAGGAGGCATGATAGCCATGTATAAATATGTGAGAGGAAGCCACAGGGAGGAGGGAGCAAGCTTGTTTTCTGCTTCCTTGGAGACTAGGACGCGGAACAATGGCTTCAAACTACAAGAGAGCAGATTCCATCTGAACATGAGGAAGAACTTCCTGACTGTGAGAGCTGTTCAGCAGTGGAACTCTTTGTCCCGGAGTATGGTGGAGGCCTCTTCTTTGGAAGCTTTTAAACAGAGGCTGGATGGCCATCTGTCAGGGGTGCTTTGAATGCAATATTCCTGCTTCTTGACAGAATGGGGTTGGACTGGATGGCCCATGAGGTCTCTTCTAACTCTTTGATTCTATGATACGCACACGCACACACATATAAATACATACACAAAACAGAATACAAATTTAACATACAGCAGCAATAAATCAAAACTCATTATTGATTGACTGACTGGGTAGTCCTGCTGGAAGAGATGGGTCTTCAATTGGGTCTTACATTTTGGCAACTCCTTTAGCTGTTGAATCTCATTCAGTTGGTCATTCCACAATCTTCTTTCGGGTCCGATGAAGAGGTCCTCTGGGTGACAGTTGCCAGTTGGGTTGGAGGAAGTGTCTGCCAAAGGACCTCAGTATCTTAAAGGGCAGATTGTGTGGGAAAAGGCGATCTTGCAGGGAACCTGGACCCAAGACCTGTAGAGCAGTAGTTCTCAACCTGTGGGTCCCCAAGTGTTGTGGCCTACAACTCCCAGGAATCCCAACCAGTTTACCAGTTGTTATGATTTCTGGGAGTTGAAGGCCAAAACATCTGGGGACCCACAGGTTGAGTACCACTGATGTAGGGCTTTAAAGGTCAAAACCAACAGTTTGTATTTTGCCCAGTTTGTAACTGGCAACCAGTTGAGTGACTTTAATAGGGGTGTCATATGCTCACTCCTAGATGTTCCTGTAACCAATCTGGCTCTGATGTTTTGAACTAATTGGAGTTTTATGCAGTCACGAAACATACATAAATAAAGTTAGCATTGTGCTGAGTAATACATAATATTAATTAATGGCAATGCCTGCAGATCTTGGTCCACCATATTATATTCCAAAGGAAACAGGATAGGGTTGTTGTAGGTTTTTTCGGGCTATATGGCCATGTTCTAGAGGCATTCTCTCCTGATGTTTCAGAGAGAAAACAGGATACGTTGGTCATAATAAATATTTGGTGGCCCACAAGTACTGGTAGTACCTGATTTATGATGCAAAATATTCAGATGAAAAGACTGCACTTATTTTCTCAACCCCAAAATGCTATATGAATTATTTCATCTCTCTTAGCACTGAGCTAACAACATACTAAGGATAGCCTGTAATATTACATTAATTAGGTAATGATTTGAGGTGGAAATCATCTGTTATGCAAGCCAATGACAGCATTGATGTTGATTTTAATTGAATTGGATGGTTCAATAATTTGCACCAACATAAAATTATGTAGCAAAATCTCCAAGAATTTATTAGGCTGCTTGCCTTTGAGGTGAAAGCGGAATTTACCCCAGCTCTTCCCAACTAAAAACAAATACATTTTTTGTCTGGAATGATTTCTTCCCAATGATTAAATGCAGTTCCCTGCATATAAATACAAAAACATGCCAAGTGCATCTTGGTTTGTGGCAAGCAATTAAAAATAAATAATAGACCTGAAATATTCATAGTAACATATTTATTTAGGCTTTATTGTAAATTTTGATTATCTTTCCATGCACATCCTCTATGAAAAGATAAACGCTTCAAGGGTTCAAAACAAGTTAATCAAGCCCAAAGCAAAATAAATACGCCTTTCATCATGACCCAAGGAACCCATGTATTATATTTTGTCAAAGCGTTGAGTGATCAAATAGCATTTAAGTATGGCACTGCACCATTTCTCTATAGTAGCAATATGCACCAGTACACTGTTTGCTTTGCATTGTTAATATTATAATACCTGATATTAGAGATTATCTTGCATTTATAATAATTAGCAGCCTGTTCTCCTGTCCCTTTTATTGCTACTTGAACTTTTCTGTAACTCTAGTGACTACTTGTACTTTTCTGTAACTTCTGTTCACCTGGGACATGCCCTTGCAATCTGTTCCATTAACATGAACAATCTGTTCTGTAAATATCAGTGGTTTCCATTGTGTATGTATCTCATTTTTATGGACTGGTTGAAGCACAGTCCCTGTTGATTGAAACAAAAATACTGTTGACTCAAAATACGTCTATTTTCTTTTGAGATTCTGTGACAGCTTTACTTCAAAGAATTATAAATTTTAAACTATCTTCATAAGACCCCACATTCCACAAACTACAAATGGTAAGATTAACTGCCTTAAGGCACTCACAGCAATCAGACATCTATACTTCATCAGCAATGAGGGCATATTTTGCACATTTTACTGGAGAAGCAGTGGTTAATTCTGATTCCTGTAAGAGTGAGTTCTTTACTTATAACTGCAATTCTTCAAATGGTGGTCAGTGAATTTATACAAATAATGTGTGCACTCTTATATAAGTGTTTTGGCAGTTTTATTTATCATGTCAGGAGCAACCAGACAGTTGTATTACATTTTTAACAAAACAAGCAAACAAACAGACAAAACACAAAGTTTGCAAGCTTGGTAGTGTCAGAGTTTGGCGGCGCACAGCAGAAGGATTGCTAGATCAACAGACACTGCGTTGCAAAATAAGGACTCTGCAGGCTTTGAATTACAAAATAAACTAAGTTTTACTAAGCACATTCAATAGACACGTCTTACTACAGCGAGCTACAATTCAGGAACTAGTCAAAACGAAAGTCTCTTCACATCTACTCATCTCTTCTTGCTGAGACCGGTTACTCCCTTCTGTTCCCAGCAAGAGCAAACATTATCTTACTTCTCTCAAGGTCACATAATCACAGCCTCATGGAATAAACATTCTGCACAGCATTTCTAATACACAGTGGAATCCATCTTGGAAATACATAGAAGTACATTTAAAACACATACATAACTAAATTAATCCTGACAGGTAGTTGATTAAATGTCCTTTGACCAGTAGCTAGCCACTTGGAGTGCCTCTGGTGTTGCCCCAAGAAGGTCCTCCATTGTGCATGTAGCAGGGCTCAGGTTGCATTGCACCAGGTGGTCAGTGGTTTGCTCTTCTCCACACTCGCATGTCGTGGGTTCCACTTCGTATTTTTGGCAGTAATTTCCCCAGATACTGAAAAAGCAGCTATAGATCTAAAGCTGTGGTTCTCAATATGTGGGTCCCCAGGTGTTTTGGCCTACAACTCCCAGAAATCCCAGCCAGTTTACCAGCTGCTAGGATTTCTGGGAGTTGATGGTCAAAACATCTAGGAACCCACAGGTTGAGAACTACTGATCTAAAGAAAGACAAGACACAACAAGAGAGGATGTTGTGTGAGTTCACAGATGACAACTTGCAGAACAACAGTTACAGTTCAGCAAACTGTCCCCCATTAAGAACATGGTTTCTGTGGTTCACACATATGGGAAACTGGTACAGTACCATAAGCAGGTACCAGAAAGCAGCTTTGCAGATGTCATACAGATGGACCCCTTTCAAAAAAGCAACTGAAGCTGCCACTGCTTGTCAAGAGAGATTTCAGATGGGAAAGAGACTGCTTGCTGCAAGTTCATAGGCCAGGTGAATGGATGCTGCAGCCCATGGTGATGAGACAGGAAGTCCTTTTTGGTAGACGAGTAATACAGAAATCGTCTCTGCATCTTCATGAAAGAACATAGACAATCATCATAGCCCAAAGCCTGGTGCACATCCAATGAGTGAAAAGAATTGTCCAGGTCAGTGGTAGGTTTTTGTACGAATGCTGGAAGAACAATGTCCCGATTCAGATGGAAAGTCTATACTATTTTGAGAGGAAGCAGATATCTGATTGCAGAACTACTTTGTTTCGACGGAAACAAAGACAGATTTGATCAGCCCTTGAGTACAAACCTGACCTTCTATCCAAGGTGACTGCTCCAAGAAATACTGTCTTCCAGGTAAGTAAACTGGGGTCACATCAAACCACAAGCTTGCTGAAAGCAATTCTAGGTTTCAGTAAGCAGTGAATTCAACCACAGTTGGAAATAGATTGTTATACCCACTCAAGAAGATTTGAACTAGAAGGTCATTGAAATCTGAGGCTTGCCAATGCATTAGCAGCTGACAAAAAGCACTTGAAGGAAGACGGTGACAAGTTCTTGTTCAACAGGTGACTGAAAAAAATTACTAAATTTTTAAGAAAGCTGGAGAGATGGTCCTTGCACCGCATCCATAATGTGCCTTACCGAGTCAGAGATAGTCTGCAAGTTTGGGTGCCTCATTCACCCTCTGTGGATGGTGAGAAGATCTGGATTGAGTGATAGCTTCTGATGCAGCCTTTGGCACAGATGTAGAAGGTGGCAAACCAAGGTCACCTGAGAACCAAGCAGTAACTAGTAAGCATCTGGCTATGTCCTATTTGATTTTGGTAATCACCCTAGTGATAAGAGGAAATGGTGGGAAAGCATATGCATTGGTCCCTCTTCAATTATACTGGAATGAAACACTTCTCAAGTAGTTTTGAGGTGATGCAAACAAGTCTACAGTTGGGTGGCTGTGAGATTTTTGGCTGAAGAGCCATGTTCCTGTGGCATTCTCTCCTGACATTACACCTGCATCTGGGGCCAGCTACTTCAGAGGTCTATGAATGTTGCAATTAGCAAGCTTGATTAGCATTGAGTAGCATTGCAGCAGCAAGGTCAATCAGTGGAGGTATTTGCATAGAGGTAGCCTGGCTGCTGTTTGCCTGGAGGCATCCTTTTTTTAACTGGCACTTGATTGTTTGTTTAACTGGCACCAGGATTGTGGCGCAGCTGGCTGAGTGTCAGTTGCATTAAGATCACTCTGACCAAAAAGGTCATGAGTTTGAAGCCAGCCCAGGTTGGAGTGGGTTTCCAACCAATTGTGTGTAGCCTGTTGTCGACCTTTGCAACCCGAAAGACAGTTGCATCTGTCAAGTAGGAAAATTAGGTACCACCTTAAAGTGTGGGGAGGCTAAATTAACTGATTTATGAGGCCATAAAGAAGACTCCAGCAAAGCATTCCAGCGAGGAAGCATGCGGGGAATGCGGAAGTGCTTCATCAGCGTCGCAGATGGATGATGAAAGCGACAGCTCCCCTGACGGCCAGAAAAACGTTAAATAGCCTCTGTGTATGTCTGTATATGTTTGTATGTCAAAAATTGGCATTGAATGTTTGCCATATATGTGTACACTGTAAGTCCCCTGAGTCCCCTGCGGGGTGAGAAGGGCGGAATATAAATACTGTAAATAAATAAATAAATTTGCTGTCTTGAATTCCCGTTTCTGTGTATGTTCTTTATAATACTGGTAATGGAGCACTTCAATAACCGGGTTGTGGTAGGTTTTTTCGAGCTGTATGGTCATGGTCTAGAGGCATTCTCTCCTGACGTTTCGCCTGCATCTATGGCAAGCATCAATAACCCTTTGACTGAGTCTCAGCTACAAATGTGCACCAAACACAAGAAGATTCCACTGCAACCCAGTTCAGTATTGTCCAGTTCAGAGGCCATCTAATTTGATGCAAGCCAGAAGCCAAATGTTGATTCAGAAATTCAAATCCCCATCCTTATGTTTATAATTGTATAAGTGTGTATTTATACATTAATACAGAAGAAAGTAACAACAAATGTCAATCAATAAAAAAGATGTTCTCTATTAGGTTAAGATACTTTCATTCCCTAAATTTTAATTCTATAGTATCTCTGCTTCTGCGTTCTTTTGCCAATCTCTCATACAAAAACGAGGATGTCGCTTCAATGCAATTGTAAATAATGTAATTGAAAGCTAATTTCATTTACTTGTATTCACTGGAGAAGGCAGTAGTTTCAGTGCCATTATGCAGCCACTTAAATTCCAAAGGCCAGCTTCCTTCTGCCAAACATGTGAGCACAAGCCGGTTCCCTTCTAGATGGATTTGTGGCAAACCTGGTTCCGTCTTGAAATAAGGCGCAACATCATCTGAAATATAAAAAGAGAATTTTGGACATGAGGTTACAAAATTCCTTGATTTACTGTGCCAATTTTCATCAGTACTTATTGCTTGAACTCAATAGAACCAGTGTAAAACTGCATTTACACAATTCCAATGCACATCTCCCCCCCCCCCCCCCCAATTACATCGCGAACATTAGGGTGCAAATTACATTTACATAAATCCCTCTCCAAGGGAAAAGTGAGCTCGAGCAGTGTCAAGCTCTGTTAGAATTGCACTCCTGCTGCTGCACAAAGAGAGGCAAAGTTGAGTGGACAGGGAACTCAACTAGTCTCCCCAAACCTCCTTTTCCCCAGAGCAAAACAGCCTTAGAGATGTGCCGAAGGGCTACCTGTACATTCCAAAAGCATGGTGCTTGACTCCTAGAGTGGAAAGGAATTCAAGGACATCCAGTCCAACCTCCTGCCATTCAGAACCACACAGTCAAAGCACCCCTGACAGATAGCCATTGAGCCTCTGCTTAAAAACCTCCAGAGAAGGAAGGAAGCTTCACCATCCCCCCAAAGCAGCATATCCCGTGCTAAACAACTTGGCTCCCCTCTTTTTTCTCCCTCTGTGACTCTCCTTGGACTTGAGGACAGGCTGGTGTCCCTTTGTGTCCCTTTGGGGTTCCCAGAAAGGGAGAACAATTGCCATGCTCTTGGAAAGCCACTTTAACACTGAGGGCCTTCTCAGTGGTGGCCCCTCGGCTGTGGGACACCCTTCCTATAGATATCAGATTGGCCCCATCCCTATTGGCGTTTCAGAGGAAAGTGAAGACCTGGCTGTTCGAACAAGCATTCGATTAAGCAGTGTAATGAATATAGAAACACGGATTAACGGATGATGAGATTGGATTCTGATTTTACTGATTAGACGCTAATGATTGTTATATTGATGTTTAATTGTTGATGATGCTATTGTTTTAACTGTCCCATAATTGTTCTATGATGTTTTGCATTGAATTTTGCTGTTGTTAACCGCTTTGAGTCGCCTGAGGGCTGAGAAAAGCAGTATATAAATGAAGTAACTAAATAAATAATAATAATAAATAACCACCATGGCTCAATGATATTGAATACTGGGTTTTGTAGTTTGGTGAGGCACCAGCATTCTTTGGCAAGAAAGTTAAAGTCTTTGTAGAACTAATATCCCCCTGACTCCATACCCTTGAGCTATAGTCATGAAAAGTGATGCCAAACTGCTTCATTTCGACAGTGTGGATGCACCCTATATTTTTCACTGGGTTCTGTTGGGAGTATTTAGAAGTGCCAAAGCAATTCTTGGCAGAGAAGCTTCAGGCCTTCTAAAACGACAGCTCCCATGATTCCATATCACTGGGCCAAGTAGTTAAAGTGAACTCAAGAACGGAAAACGGAATCAAAGCCAACCTTAGAAACTTCAGCATAGACACTGAGAACTGGGAAGCCCTGGCCCTTGACCGCTCCAGCTGGAGGTCAGCTGTGACCAGCAGTGCTGCGGAATTTGAAGAGGCACGAATAGAGGGCGAAAGGGAGAAGCGTGCCAAGAGGAAGGCGCATCAAGCCAACCCCGACCGAGACCGCTTTTCACCTGGAAACCAATGCCCTCACTGCAGAAGAAGACGCAGAGCAAGAATAGCGCTCCACAGCTACATACGGACCCACAAGAACACTGGAGGACAATCCTCCTTGGAAAACGAGGGATCGCTTAAGTAAGTTAAAGTGGCGTCAAGCTACATTTCTTACAGCACAGATGCACCCCAAGGAAGCTGAGGCAGGACAAACAGTAGAGGCACCTCGAGGGAAAGACTATCTATTTCTCTGGTTTTCCTTTCCATCTCTGGAAGCTTTGGTATTTGAATTCTTCTGTTTTTAAAGAAGGAGTTCTAAGTGCACAGTAGCTGTAAATCACACCTTTTTGGTCAAATTACAATGAGTGAACTTTTTACTGCTGCACATTACATTTGCCAACAAATACTTTTTTTCAATTTCAAGGTTTTCAAAATTGCGGTGCGCATTACATCCAATGGCACATTAGATCCAAGTAAATACAGGGCAAATTTGTATCTAACCACTTGGCTATGGTTCATAAAATTGTGATAAGCACACAATCTGTGCAGTGATCCCAACACACAAGCACATACATTGCTCACACATTGCCTTATGGTGGTTTGATCTTGATTAGATATTAATGGCTGTTCACTGACAAGGATCCGGACCACAGTCTGACCTGGATTAACTCTTAATCGCTAACTTCAGCTTTGGAACTACAATTTGCTTTATACAGAATCAAAGCACTGAAGGCAGCGCATTGGAATTATAGAGTCTTGTAGTCTTTTCTTGCTTTATACACCTTGGCAGACAATGCCAAGACATTAGGTCATTGACTTGGATTACTACTGACATATAATGGCTCAAGTTTGGGTCTGTCTCATACTTTTTAAAATAGCCACAGTTCCCTTCTAGATAAATCTGTAGCCAATCTGGTTCTGTCTTAAAATAGGGTGCAATATCATCTGACAAAAGGAGCTGATGGTGATGCAATGGGTCACCAGCCTTATGCCGGCAGGAATAAAAGGTCAGCAGTTCGAATCCAGGGAGCAGGTTGAACTCCCGTCTGTCAGCTCCAGCTTCCTATGTAGGGACATGAGAGAAGCCTCCCACAGGATGGTAAAACATCCGAGTGTCTATTAGGCAACGTCCTTGCAGACTGTCAATTCTCACACCAGAAACAACTTGTAGTTTCTCAAGTCACTCTTAACATGAAAAAAAATCATCTGACATATAAGAAAATTTTGGAGATAAGGTTACAAAACTCCTTGATTTACTATGTCCATTTTCATCAGAGTTTATTTGCTTGAATCCATTAGAGCCAGTGTAATCTATATATATATAAATGCTCTGTGCATAATGAGTTCTTTAAAAACAAAAGAACCAATAAACAAAATCACACCAAATTTGGCAACAAAACGTCTCACAACACAAGGAGTGACCATCTCTCAAAAATTATGATTTTGTTATTTGGGAGTTGTCGTTGCTGGGATTTATAGCTCACCTACAATCAAAGTGCATTCTGAACTCCATCAACGATGGAATTGAACCAAACTTGGCACACAGAACTCCCTTAACCAGCAGAAAATACTGGAAGGGTTTGGTGGGCATTGACCTTGAGTTTGGGAACTGTAGTTCACCTACTTCCAGAGAACACTGTGGACTCAAACAATGATGGATCTGGACAAAACTTGGCACAAGCACTCAATACGCCCAAATATGAATACACATGGAGTTTGGGGAAAATAGACCTTGACATTTGGGAGTTGTAGTCACTGGGATTCACAGTTCACCTACAATCAAAGAGCATTCTGAACCCCACAAACGAAAGAATCGGGGCAAACTTCCCACACAGAACCCCCATGACCATCCAATCCAACTCCCTTCATCAGGGTAAGAAAACGTAATCAAAGTCATCCTGACAAAGAGCCATCCAGCCATAGATATAGATAGATAGATAGATAGATAGATAGATAGATAGATAGATAGATAGATAGATAGATAGATAGGGAGTTGTAGTTGCTGGGATTTATATTTCACCTACAATCAAATAGCAAGATAGAATTGAACCAAATGGGGCATACAGGACTTCCATGACCAATAGAAAACACTAGAAGGGTTTGGTGAACATTGACCTTGAGTTTGGGAGTTGTAGATCACCTACATCCAGAGACTACCATGGACTCAAACAATGATGGATCTGGACCAAACTTGGCACGAATATTCCATATGCCCAAATATGAACATAGATGGAGTTTGGGAGAAATAGACTTTGACATTTGGGTGTTGTAGTTACTGGGATTTATAGTTCATCTATAATCAAAGAATGTTCTGAACCCCACCAAGGACAGAATTGGGCCAAACTTCCCACACAGAACCTCCATGACCAACGGAAAATACTCAAGGCCATCCAGTCCAACTCTCTTCACCAGGGCAAAGCCCTCCTGACAAAGAGCTATCCAGCCATAGATATAGATAGATAATATGATTCACACACAGAGAAATATAATATCATAGATTTGAAAGGGAATCCTAAAGAAGGACAATGATATGTTGCATGTTCCAGAGTAGGCAAACCAGACACTCTCCACATCAACACAGACAAAGAAACAGCAAGAAATACTGTTTATCCACAAGCATAAAAAATTACATAGATTAGAAACCAACACTTTCTCATTACTTTATTTTCCAGATCAACAGACTGGGCCACAGCAACGCATGGCAGGGGAGAGCTAGTATATAAATAGGACCATACTGAATTTCTAAAATTGCCATGCTGAGATCCTTATCAGCTATTTATATAAAGTCTGCAGTAAATAAACAAGCAGGTATGAATTAACCAAACCAATTGGTGGAGATAAACTCTGAAGACCAAGATTCACAGTGTTTAGACATGAAGGTTGGTAAGTGGCTTTGAATAAGTTATTGGTGCTGCTTAATTGATTTCATGTGGTTGTATGAGGACAGAGTTATGTTGAATTGGAGGACATGCTCCACGTTGAGATGTGTGTAGAGAAAAGAGAGGGCAAGTAAAATGAATATTAATGCCACCGTTCTGTGATACGGCTTTCAGTGCTACCCATCAGACTCCAGTTGGTTTTCTTATAAGAGAAGAATAGTGATGATCAGAATGTTATTTATGGTATCCAGCAGTTCTCTCAATATGTTTTTTACACTTTAATATATTTGAAATGCTAAACTCAAATACAGTTGTGTCTTGTCCCCTCCAGTGTAATATTTGGTGCTAGGCTCTTTTTCTTACATTCATAGGAATTAAATCCAGTTCATTAAATTCTCTTTAAAAAGTTAGAAATGTAAGCCTGGATGAAATGATTATCACAGCAGGACATGTCTCAGGATAAATGAAGAATTTTGATAGCAGCTTTGAACAAAACATCTTACAAAACAGCAAGATTAATGTGCCTTTCAACATTGTCTTTACCCAGACCATCTTA